GCGAACTTGGTGATCTAGGGTATTTTGGCGCTGGCGCCTGTGACATGGGTGCGAGAGGCAGACTACCCTAGTAGGCAACTTTTCAGCCAATTCTGCTCACGAAGAAAAAAGTCGGGCAAAAACAGGCCTGCTTTCGGGTGATTTGGGCAGTAAAAACACTAAAACTCTTCAAAGCGAAACAGAATTGCCGGCAATTGAGTCTTTTTCTGCTGCAAGTAGGAGCAAGGTTGACAAAGAAACGGATAAAAGTATTTTCTGAACTCGCAGAAGATGTTCCGAAAAAATGCAAAAAACCCGTCAAGGAATCGAACCCATGACCTCCCATCTATGAAGCAACTTACCTATCCACTACACCATCGACCACTTGAGACTGTCTGTACTCGAACTTAACTTGAGCTACGCAAAGGAGGATCGGCGAGTGCTATGCTAAAACCACCACCCCCCTAACTCCTCGTAGAGAAACCACCACCCCCCTAACTCCTCCTGCCAGCGTTTTGAGCGGCCTCGTTTCAGCGGTAATCGTTAGGCTGCGTTCATACCGTGCGACGGCGTCGTCAACGTCGACGACGAAACCGACGTAACCGACGACTAGTTCCCGAAGATTGTATACGTATCGATCCGACGTAACGGACGAAACCGACGAAAGCGACGTAACCGACGACTACTTCACGAAGATTACATACCTATCGATTCGACGACGAAACCGACGTAACCGACGAAAGTGACGAAACCGACGAAAGCGACGAAAGCGACGAAAGTGGCGAAAGCGACGAAAGCGGCGAAACCGACGAAACCGACGACTACTTCGCGAACATTAGATACGTATCGATTATCGAAAACGACGAAACTGACGATTTCGGCGACTGTGCCAAGAATTAGCTTTTCGTAGATGGTTTTTCCCCCACAACATTTTTCACATCTTATTTACATCCTTTTCTGTTTGTAAACAATTTCCCTATCTCCTTCCATCCTCTTGAGTGACCTTACAACCTATCTTCTTCATTTTCGAGAGAAATACCATGACATCGATTCCACGTGGCTTACGTGGAATCGATGTGGTTCCCAGTATATATAGGTTGGAAGGAAAGTCCTGTCAGTGTTTTTTGAAAAGCTTACAGTTTTTGATTCTCGATGCTCGTACATGACGTAACATGCTATGCTTGTAGGACACTCTGGGAGCTTTCCTGCAAGAGGCGTGTGAGGGCGCCTGCTCTTCCCTGGGTTTAATTACGATGTCAGTTTCACAGGAGTATCTTCGGGTCATCATCTTCTATCAGTGGCCCCGCGGCACTGGAGCCACGGCAGCTGTCCGTAACATCAACAGTACATTGAGGGAGGACACCATTACCGGCAGGATCGTTCACTTTTAGTTCGCTCGCTTAGTATTCATACCTTGGCCGATGGCACGCTGTGCACCCGGGTAAAATTTTTGATTGATGATTTTCTCGATTACTATATACTATAGACTATATACTGGGAACCACATCGATTCCACGTAAGCCACGTGGAATCGATGTCATGGTATTTCTCTCGAAAATGAAGAAGATAGGTTGTAAGGTCACTCAAGAGGATGGAAGGAGATAGGGAAATTGTTTACAAACAGAAAAGGATGTAAATAAGATGTGAAAAATGTTGTGGGGGAAAAACCATCTACGAAAAGCTAATTCTTGGCACAGTCGCCGAAATCGTCAGTTTCGTCGTTTTCGATAATCGATACGTATCTAATGTTCGCGAAGTAGTCGTCGGTTTCGTCGACGTTGACGACTCGTCGCACGGTATGAACGCAGCCTTATTATCTACACATTCCTTGTTGCTCAAAACGCTCGAAACGCATAGGCTGCAAAACGCTAACGCTAAGCGTTAGCGTTTTACAGCCTATGTGATTCGAGCGTTTTGAGCCATTGAGCTGAGTGGTCAAAAGTGGCCTCGGTAGCGTAATAGGGAACGCAACTGCCCGGTAAGCAGAAGATGCGGGTTCGAATCCCGTCCGTGGTCCGACTTTTGCCCATAACTCAGCATTCTTGTGATAGCTTTCGGATCGCGTACTGCGGCGTTAAACAGCAGTTATCAAACAATAACAGCTAACGCTAAGTATGAACGCACATTTACAACAAACTGGGTGTTTAGGTGAGCTCGATGGAGCTGCATGTCTGGCCTGCGGATTTTGGTCTCCCGTCCATCGATGTAGAATGCCTCCAGTTTTTGGTGAGAAAGCTCCTAATTAACACTTTTTGTAATGAATTTCATCGATTTTAGGCATGTTCAAAGATGTGTGCTAGCCCAGTCACTGTGGTCTACTCAAGCCGTCCCTGGAATTCACCAACTGGTGAGTTGTCGGAATACTGACGAAGGCTGCGTCTATACTTTACGTCAACGTTTCGAGTGTACGCCGCGTTTCGAGCAGTAGGAATCGATCTAGCTTTAGCGTAAAAGTGTAGGAGTGTAGGTATCGATCCAGCGATACCTACACTGCTACACTTTTACGCTTTGACCTCCTACGCTTTACGCTTTTGACCGAACGCCAGCGTTTTCAGCGACTACACGCGAAACGCTGAAAACACTTGCGCACTCTTGAAACGCTAGGTCTCGATATCTATACTTTCCTAGTCACTCGACACGCTGCATTGCGCTTAAAACGTTGAAGTAAACTATGAGCGCAGCCTAATATTCACCAGCACTGTTCAATTCACCTTTATGTATTAGTCTTTGTCCAAATGCCAGTTCATCAAATGGTATTATATGCAGGAGAACCATGCTAGCTTTTGATGAGGTGTCGCCTTCTGCAATCACTGCTATTGTTGAAGCCACTGCACGTTCTATTGCAAACTTTTTACCAGTTTCCTGGATTTTGCAAGATACGACCCCCCTCCTCCTCGATGATCCTCCTCTGCTGCGACCTTCCTGCTACCGTCTTCCTAATTTTTCCCAACTTCGCGCCATTTTTTCCGGACCTTCCGAAATTTTTGAGTTCTTAGTTTGCCAGTTTTTTTTCCTACATTTTTTAGTTGAACGGGGAGAGGAGATACATGTGACACGACAAAAATTGCAAAAACCTGCGTGAAGTCAACAATCCGTAGAAAATTCTCGCACACACGAAAAAAAAATTTTCAGAGCGGGGAAGACCACCTATCAAAGCGTGAGGCAAATACGAACCTGCCACTTCCTCACCCCCATAATAGCATCTACTCACTATGAGGATAGCGGGCATGAAATAGAAGAAAAAGAGTTGTCAAAAAAATCTTTCTCAGGTCAAATACGACCTCCCTAGGTAATCCACTGACGTGCCTTTGTTCAAAGGCAGTTGGCACGATGATTTGGTGCTCGGCCTAAAATGCTAGTAGGGCGCTATAGTGGGGAAATGGCGAAAGAACGGAGTGAAACGGTCAAAATCCTGCGAAGAAAAAGCCTCCGTTCTCAGTGACTTGTAAATCGATTTCGGACGAGTTTCCCGTAGGCATCTTACCAATCACCGCTACCGAAGATACGGCTGCATATGTGTACCCATGTATGCATGCAGCATCATACCAATCCCTTCGCTTCATAATTTGCTTAGCAAATGAATGAATACGAGCGTCAGGAACGGTCGTCCATTTGTGGGCGGGCGGGCGTTTGGGACGTAATGTTGTGGCTTGATAGGGCCCTTATAAGGGCACCTTCCTCGGGGAAACCGCTATGCAGCGCCTGCCCAGGGTCGCGGAATTCTATCCTGCCAGGAGTATTGATCCTAGTCGTCTTGGGGGATTTATCGTGCCAACTGCCTTTAAGGTGTTCAGAGCAGACGGGAATTGATCGTCACCTATTCTCCGTTTCTCATTCTCTTCTAAAACGCTGATGGCCCAGGCCGATATGTACCCATCCTTTTCGTTACCGTGCACTCTCCTATCCTCCTATATTCCCGTCGTAAACTACTCCGTAAAGACAAATCCTGCACTTGCATATTGCGGATAATGAGGTTTAATAACAAACCTATAGTCGCTGAATGACTCTTCGGGAATGAATAAATTTTGGAGGACACCCTAAGTAAAAACCTGGCAGCTCGACGAGTTCTCCGCGCCTGCTCGCTTTAAACCAGAAAAGCTATATCCTGCCGCCTCTAGCCCAATAGTGATTTTTTTGCGTAATTTAACACTAACTAGGGAAGGTCGTCAGGTCGAAGTGGCCATTTGTGATGAGATGTAGATCACTAGACGTGGTTTTGGACGCTGATCTTGAATCTGCCTTCAAAATTTGCAAAGCGATTCTCTGAACGGAGTTATGGAGCCGCGTTTACCACGCAACAGGTCATGGGATCGGATCCCTGCTGAGCTTAACTTTTTTGCTTGTTGCGCAAACGTGGCAAAAAGTGATTTTGCCGTCACTACTTCAGTTCTCACCTGAGCTTGTCTGAAGAAAAGTTTGCCTCCATTTATTACTGCGCTTGGACTCCTTGTAGAAGCACTGTAGTGCACTGTAGTCTACAAGGAGTCCAAGCGCAGTAATAAATGGAGGCAAACTTTTCTTCAGACAAGCTCAGGTGAGAACTGAAGTAGTAGTGACGGCAAAATCACTTTTTGCCACGTTTGCGCAACAAGCAAAAAAGTTAAGCTCAGCAGGGATCCGATCCCATGACCTGTTGCGTGGTAAACGCGGCTCCATAACTCCGTTCAGAGAATCGCTTTGCAAATTTTGAAGGCAGATTCAAGATCAGCGTCCAAAACCACGTCTAGTGATCTACATCTCATCACAAATGGCCACTTCGACCTGACGACCTTCCCAGAGATCATTTAGCAATGCGAAAGAAAACGAACCCCATGTAAAGACTGCACTCAAGACAGAAAATAGAATTTGAGTTTTGACGGGCGGGTCAACTAGTGTGGCATCAGAACCACCAATTGTGAGGGCCGCAGCGCCTTCATCACTTACTGTGAAGCCCCGAAAGCGGGGCAATGTTAGAGAATGAGGACAGACCATTGTAGGGGTCGGACTTGTGAAGCGCGGAGACTGTTAAACTCAGAACCGTGCTGCGCATCATTGGTCTTTGCGATTGTCTCGAGCAAAGTCTCTTCTTTGTAGGTGAGTATCCAGTTCTCTTCGATAAATCGAACCAGGGTAGAATCACTACCAATTTTGACAAGTAAGTGGCTCCGATTCATACTTTTTTGTGTTTGTTTTGTGTGGAACCTCTCATTGTTTCGGCCTTTTTTGTGTCTTTTAGATTTGTAAATGTGCTGAGGAAGAGTGGTCAGGAGGTAGTGATCGATGCAGATTTGACCCCTTCTGAACGTTCACAGATTGATGCATTCAACTGTTTCCTTCAGCAATACATAAGTCCAGCCGTGGTAAGTTCTTATTCCCTTCCAACATTTATCCTTCATTTCCAGAGGGCCAGATCTCGCTGGATCTACTATTAAAGCTAAGGTGTTCATACTTTACGTCAGCATCTTGAGCGAAGAGGAAAGCATGGGTGTCGATTTGGTGTTTTGATCCTTTTGCGGTAGTTTTAAACTTTTCGCGGGCAGTCGCTGAAAACGCTCGCGTACGCTCAAAATGTTAGATCGAAATCCAGACTTTTCTGGTCGCTCAAAACGCTGGCGTACGCTTGTAACACTCAAGACGCTTACGTAAAGTATGATCACAGGCTGATTGGAGGTCATTTACAGATGCACACATTCTGGGGCGACGATTTGAACTACAACACGGTAACGCATTACTGGTTCTCCTCCCGATTATCATTTCCTTACAATCTTTATTATCTCGAAAAACGTCGAAAGCGAATTCAACGTTTGCTGTCAGAGAAGAGCATTAGCTCCATAATGAAAGACGGATTGCAGGTAGCAGCGTTTTTTGGGCTATTTTTGCTATCAACTGTTTACTTGGATTATTCAGGCTTTGAATCTGCTGTCATCAAAACTTGGGGACAACAAGTTCTTCTGTGGAAACAAGTATACTAATATTTTGATAATGTTAGGCTGCATTCATACTTTGCGTCAGCGTTTTGAGCGTACGTTGGTGTCTTCACCGATTGCCCGCCAAAAGCTAAAAAGGCTCGCGAACGCGCTCAGCGCTGGCGTACGTTCCAAAAGCTGACGCAAAGTATGAAGGCAGCCTCTCGATTGTTGGTCATAGCAGTTATTCCCAGACCCAGTTCGCTTGATGCTTTGGTATTCGGCTACCTTGCCCCGCTTCTTCGTCTTCCGCTCCCGAATGACAGACTACAGCTTCACTTGAGGGCTTGTCCGAATCTTGTACGTGGAACTGGAAGTCAATGGATTTATGCGAATAAAGAAGTCTTGCATTTAGGTTCGATTCGTTGAGCAGGTGGCATCAATATACCTCCCTCCATCCGAGGAACAATTGAGGTTACAAAAGGCTGAGCGCAAGATGTGGGAGACAAGATTGCAAAAAGCCGAAAAACTAAAGGAAGCTGAAAAGGTGTGTCTCTTCGAATTGTGAATAAAGCATGTGATAGAAGTCACTTGCAATCAGTTTTAGGTTGCGTCAGCAGAAGCAACGCTGGTACAGGAAGATATGCCACTACGAGACAGTATACTATTCGGACTGGGCGCTATCACCCTTTCGCTTCTTTTTGCTCTTCACTCTGGTATTATTCAGGTAAATTTGGTTTGGTGGGCATCGTTAATTGAACAGTTCCTATTTGGGCTGGCTGAAATTCGGCGCATTTCGGTGACGGTAGGGAGGGGGGGGTCGCACTCTTCGCTGCTTCACTAGTTTCGGTTGGAAAGTCCTGTGAAAACCTGTGAACTCTAATGAAGCGGGGGGGGGGGGGCTCGTCGAGCAGCCACGGTAAAATCTGTCAACTCCTTGGAGCTCATGGAATATCTGCTTTACCAGTGACGCCCAGGTGACGTCGAGCTCTCCTCCTTCTCTCTTGGTTTCGCCACACGTGCTTCATAATGGAAACGGAATTTGCTAAATCACTTAGCTGCTCATACTGCGCTGGTTTGATCGGATCGTAATAGATAGAGTAACCCATACAAGAGATAGAGTAACCCATACAAGAGCTCGCATCCAGCCGCCACGCGAGCTGCTTGTGCAGTGGCTTGGCGTGTACTAGACGGCTGTCTTATATAGCGAAACTATTACCACAATCAAAACAGCATCACAGTTTGTCATTTTATTATTGACTGGCTTGCAGTTTTGCTAGCGGTTGTGTCCTCCTTCTTGCTCTCCTAGTCAAGCGTGCGCTACACATCCCCTCATCGTACCCCTTCACCCAACATCTTCCCCCTGTTTCCCTACCCTGCACCTGCTCAGGTCCAGCTGAGCAAGTAGGGGAAGGAAGCTGAGAGGAGGGTTCACTTGTTGTCAGCCTCCTCCTCTATCCCACCCTGCCCCCGCACGAGCATACGTCCAGCTGCCACGCGAGCAGCTCGTGCAATGGCTCGGAGTGTACCGAATGGTTGTCTTATATATGCTGTTATCACAATCAAAACATTGGATTGATACATCTGCACCAATCGGTTTCCGGTTTGTCTAGCGGTCGTATTCTCCTCCACTAACCTATTCGAAATCTTTAAGCATTTTGCGGACGGACAGACGTACATACAATCTTACAAACATACAGCCGATATAAAAGGATAAAGGATAAAGTCTTCGCCGTTGATCAATCCCTTTGTGGGATGCGGCACGCATTCTACTTCCATTCAGAATCGTAGTGGCTTATTGAATGCGATGTGGCCTATACAATGACTTGCGGTGGCCAGCCGATGTACAAGTCAGTGTTTTATCCTCCCAGACGAATCTGGTACCAATTTACCGTTCCCAAAGGGTAGAGATCATTCTTTGCTCTTCACTCTGGTATTATTCAGGTAAATTTGGTTTGGTGGGCATCGTTAATTGAACAGTTCCTATTTGGGCTGGCTGAAATTCGGCGCATTTCGGTGACGGTAGGGAGGGGGGGGTCGCACTCTCGCTGCTTCACTAGTTTCGGTTGGAAAGTCCTGTGAAAACCTGTGAACTCTAATGAAGCGGGGGGGGGGGGGCTCGTCGAGCAGCCACGGTAAAATCTGTCAACTCCTTGGAGCTCATGGAATATCTGCTTTACCAGTGACGCCCAGGTGACGTCGAGCTCTCCTCCTTCTCTCTTGGTTTCGCCACACGTGCTTCATAATGGAAACGGAATTTGCTAAATCACTTAGCTGCTCATACTGCGCTGGTTTGATCGGATCGTAATAG